ACATCATTGCTCCAAGTTAACATCATTCCTCCAAACTCTCCAATGACTCATAAAGAACTTTCCATTATCTTAATATACGACTAAAATCAGTTTCACACTTCTGTTAAGGTCTTCAGAAGTGACAATGGAACTGAATTTTTTCAAGATGTTTGTTTTGCTTTCTTTTCTTAGAAAGGTATTTTGCATCACCAATTAGATTTTGGGGTGATTGTCTATTGGCTTATACTTTGATCAACCTCATGCCTAGTTCTGTCTTGCATTGGATCTGTTGTATCTGTTGTTTTAATTATGTGCAGGTTTTAGCTATTGTTACTGTAGTTTTGTTAGAAAGGATGATTGATGAAGATGATGATGATAGGTTATATTATTAAGGACATGGAACATGACAACTTATAATTTTTTTTATACAATTTGGTTTCTATAACTCGCTTTGACAGGTAAAACAGCAGCAATAACCAGCACCAAGCAGGCACAACACCACCAGAGAATAGCTAACAACCAGCAGATAGCCAACAGGCTTTGCAAACCAGGCCAGCAACCAAACAGCAGCATCACAACAGCTGAAAGAGTAGGCAACAGAACTAGCAGCCTGAACCAGAAAGCAGTAGCCAACAATAGCTAAACACATCCTGCAAACAAAAACCAGCAACCAGACACAAAGCAAGCAACAGAGCCAACAGAAAACAACAGCTTACAAAAGGAAAGTTGACCTGGCTGTTAAATCAAGGGCTCTGCTTCTCCAGACCTTGATTCTGTATTTTTTTTTCTTCAGTTTTTAAAGTCTAATATTACAAGTTGTTGAAGAAAATATATGTGTTTTATGTATATTATGATTATATATAAGATTTGGGCATTTGGCACCGGTTTTGGAAAAGAACCGGTGCTAAAAGTTTTTTTTTTTATAATTTTGGGGACTTTTGGCACTGGTTCGAAGTCAAAACCGGTGCAAAAAGTGTGGTTTTTCGCACCGGTTCTCACCCAAAACCGGTGCGAGAAGTCTTATATTGCACCGGTTTTGAACCGGTGCAAAATATCTGGGGTTTTAGCACACCTCAAATCAGGACCGGTTCAAAACCGGTGCTAAATAGGGGGTTTTGAACCGGTGCGGATTACGTGTTTTCGCCTAGTGGAAAGACTTGTTTCCCTGTGGATTCGACCCTACTTCCCTATCAACTTTAGTTAGAGGACTTAGGTAATTCTTTTGATTAAGTGATACGACTTTAGCCTGTCAATAAGAGGTTTTTTTAAATGAAAATTTTAATATACTGGTCAATATGAATAATAAAGGTCACTATGTTAAAATTAGAGTTATATGTTCAATTTAACATCGTACTTAAGGTTCACCTTAAGGTTCACACTAGCATTAAAGGCACACAAGTTTTAATAAAGGTTACTATATTATGTTAAAAATAAGGTTACTACGTTAAAATTAGGGTCACTATATTCAATATAGTGTCAGTTACGTGTGTATAAACCTTAGGTCCACAATAATAGTCCACGCAAGATTTGGGGTTTTGGGGTGAGGGGATGGTGGTTTAAGGGAAAGCGGAAGGGCTGACGCTCAGGAGAGGGGTAAGGACGGCGCGGACCGTGGGTAGCTGGGTTCGGTGCCGACAAAGGAAGGGTGAAGGGGTGGCGCCGGCCGGTGGGAAAGGCATGGGGCAGTGCGGGGGGGTTTGGTGGTTTTATTTTTTAATTAATTAGTTAAAAATAATACTAATATTAATATTAATATAATATTTTTTTTAACTTTTGACCAATCACGTGGTGACAGGTGTACATTAAACCTAATAAAAAATAAAATTACCTGTTTAATAGGTTACCGGTCACCTTTGACTATTTTGGGCGAATGAAGTATAAAGTTGGGATTATTTTGGACGGGCAGAACAAAGTTGAAATTATTTTTAGCAATTTTTCCAAAATTGTGTTAAAAAATCTAGCATTTAGGTTTTATTTATTTATTTATTGCATAATGTGATGTAACTTATATCTTGGAGGTATGTACCTTATAAATGTACGACAAGTACCTTCAAAATTATCAAACAATCGAATTAAAGGACAACCAAGCAAAGTTTTGTAGAGTTGGAGGGGAACTCACCTCGAGACTTTAAGGTCAAGCACCACGAACTACATTTGCTTGGGAGTAGGAGGTTTCCATAACCACCCCCTCTGCTCCCCTCTACTCTCAAATTTAACCTGCGGAGCAGACTGGCTTAACCTGTGAGAGGTGCTGATTTAATAGGGTCTTTCATCTTAGTATTAAGAAAAAATAATAATAAAATAAAATAAAATTGAAGGACACCACTTCCCGCCATAACCAACTACAAAGTACAAAGCTTATTCATTTCATCATTTGAGTTTTTAATTCCAGACTTACCAAACAATTGAATTGAAATCCTCAAAATTCAACCGAATGAATGAGGATTTCTTCTCAGAATCGCTCACTTATATCAATCATCAAACATACCTTTAAACCCAGAATTAAATTTCATTGTTATTGCTATTTTTCATCAATCCCTGATTCCAACCTATTGACATTGTTCAACCAATACGTTGATCCATCCAATGTGCATTCCTGGAATTCAGTCATTGCCGAGCTTGCTCGAAGCGGCGATTCGCTCGAAGCCCTTCGAGCTTTCTCTTCGTTGCGAAAACTATCTCTTCTTCCTAACCGCAATACATTCCCCTGTGCTATCAAGTCCTGCTCGTCTCTGTGTGATCTTTTTTCCGGCCGACAAGCCCATCAGCAGGCTTTTGTGTTCGGTTATGATTATGATCTTTTTGTGTCTTCTGCTTTGATTGATATGTACTCTAAATGTGGGCAGATTTGGGATGCACGCAAGCTGTTCGACGAAATTCCTCAGAGAAATGTTGTGTCTTGGACGTCGATGATCACGGGTTGTGTACAGAACGATGAACCCCATGAGGCTTTGTTGTTGTTAAATGAGTTTTTGGCGGAGGAAAGTGAAATTGAGGGAGAAAAGGAGGGTTTTTCTGTTGATCAAGTTGCTTTGGTTTCGGTTTTATCAGCTTGTGCTCGGGTTTCGAACAAGTTTGCAACTGGTGGGATTCATGGGTTTTCTGTAAAACGGGGTTTGGATGTGTTTTTGGGAGTAGGGAATACTTTGGTAGATGCGTATGCTAAGTGTGGGGAGTTGGTTATGTCGAAGAAGGTGTTTGATGGGATGATAGAGAAAGATGTTATTACTTGGAATACTATGGTTGCAGTGTTTGCACAAAATGGATTGTCCACTGAAGCTATAGAAGTGTTTCATGACATGGTGAATGATAGCGACATTAGATATAATGCAGTGACATTGTCTGCTGTACTGCTGGCATGCTCTCATGCTGGGGCTTTGCTTCATGGCAAGTGCATACACGATCAGGTACTACAAAAGTTGCAATCTTCTAGAAAAGTTTTTGTAGTTTGATTGATTGTCATACCCATTATTGGTGTTTATAATGTTTTGTTGCTTTTTAATGAATAACTATACATTGCTAATGTTGCTTTATATCATTTCGCAGGTGGTTAAAATGGGTTTGGGACAGAATGTATTTGTTGGCACCTCCATTATTGACATGTATTGCAAATGTGGGAGAGTTGCAATGGCCAGGAGAGCATTTGAGCGCATGAAGCTGAAGAATGTGAAGTCTTGGAGTGCAATGATAGCTGGTTATGGGATGCATGGGTATGCCAAAGAAGCACTTGATGTTTTCTATGACATGAAAAGGGTAGGAGTAAAACCAAATTACATAACTTATGTATCAGTTCTAGCTGCATGCAGCCATGCTGGCCTTGTTGACGAAGGCTGGGACTGCTTCACAAGCATGAAAAGGGAATTTGGTGTGGAGCCAGGGGTCGAACACTATGGCTGTATGGTTGATCTTCTCGGTCGTGCTGGTTTACTTGGCAAGGCATATGATTTGGTTAAGGAAATGAAGGTTGAGCCTGATTTTGTGGTATGGGGGGCTCTTTTGGCTGGTTGCCGAATGCATAAAAATTTAGAGCTTGCTGAAATTTCAGCTAGAAAATTGTTTGAATTAGACCCAAGTAATTGTGGGTATTATGTTTTGCTTTCGAATATGTATGCTGATGCTGGAAGGTGGGAAGATGTTGAGAGAATTAGATATTTAATGAAGGAAAATGGTTTGGTTAAACCACCTGGATATAGCTTGCTAGAAGTGAAAGGGAGAGTTCATGTATTTTTGGTTGGAGATAAAGAGCATCCTCAACAGCAGCAAATTTATGAGTACCTGGATAAGCTATATATGAAACTGAAGGAATTCGGATATGTATCTGATAAGACATCAGTTCTTCATGATGTTGATGATGAAGAGAAGGAATTCATCTTACAGGCTCACAGTGAGAAGCTTGCAGTTGCATTTGGTATTATGAATACTGTTCCTGGGACTGTAATCCATGTCACAAAAAACCTCAGGGTTTGCGGTGATTGTCACATTGTGATAAAGCTGATTTCTAAAGTTGTCAACCGAGAGATTGTGGTAAGAGATTCTAAGCGTTTTCACCATTTTAAAGATGGGTCTTGTTCATGTGGTGATTACTGGTAATTGATATAGTTTCTTCCTTGGAAAGAAACGCTCGGTAGATTTGATTATGTCCACTGCAGGAATGGTTATTAAAAGATGATTCTCTACTACTACTTCAGGAGAGGTGGTGGACATGAAATATCCGTATGGATGCTACATACTGTTAGAATGGCTGCTCAATTTATGCTCCGTCTCAATTGTTCATGAGGGATTAGCATTTTTATTGTTGTGGGTATTAAGAGAAGCAAGCAATTCTCTTAGGGAAGATTTCCTTAAGCCAGGTTCCTGAAGGAGAACATTTAATATATGCTTTGTAGACTAACTGTGATGTTAAGACAAGCCAGAACCCAAAAAAAAAAAAAAAAAAAAGAGAGAGAGAGAGAGACTTGCTAACTTGGCTGTGCAAAGGAAAAACATATACTGAATGTTTCAAATTCCAATAATTTAGGTTTATACCAGCAATACAATATGGAATATTTACGTGACATGGTATCAAATTACGGAGAGCATCCTCTGAAAAACTTGTCTAGAAGGATTGATTTCCTCCTTGGAGAACTCTCTTGGATGTGCTGTTTGTTATGATCATTGTAATTTAGAGTACGCTTCAGGGTATCATTTTCGACCCTCAATCTGCTCACCTGAGTTTGGAGCTTTATGATGGTCTCTCTTTTCTCAGAATTTCTTCTGATCAACTCAACCTGCAGCTGTGTATTTTCTTCAACAAGCTTTGAAAATTTGTACTTCACTCCATCAAACCAGGCATTTTCTGGCTGAATACTGCTTCCACCTTTGGGTACCAAGCTATCCGCAGTCCTCTTTATATGCTCAATGTCAGCCATAGTGCCTTCACATTTAGTATCAGCATCTTCTACAGAAGATTCGGGATTAGAATTAGTAGTCTCTAACTGAGAATCATTCCAGGCTCCCAAGTCTTCCAAAATTTTCTTGCTTTTATTGCTGAAAAGGGATGACGATTCTGAAGTATGAACATCTATTGCAACATTTTTTAAGCTTTCATATTTCTCTGCTAAGTTGCGGTAAGATATGCAGAGATCTTGAACTACTTTTGTGATATTTTCTTTTTTTCTTACACATATTTCATCATTTTGCAAGGGAGAATCATCATCTTCCAGAAGAGCCAGAATGACCTTCATTTTTTCATCCACACCTGTGTCAAAGTAGACTCAATTAGATGGAGTCAATTATCTTTTCCCATTGTATGGATTCATCTAATCATCGTTGATTTTTTGGAAAATCATATTATATATTCAAAAAATCTGCATAGTTATGTCCAGCATGATAACCCTTTCAAAGATAGGGGTTGGAATATAACTTTATACTTCCCTCAACAAAACTCCCTGAAACACCACTATATATGTGACAAATGTTTATAAAAAATTGCCCTTGAGGTTAGAACAAACCATTTCTGCATGTTTATTCTATACAGTTTTTACAGAATTGAGAACGTCGCTTTGCTTAAAAAGTATAGATACCATAACCTATGATTCCCTCTTTCCGAAATTGGCTATTGCCTGTTGGAATTGTACTCTGTACTAGGCTACTAGCTATTCAAGGTTATCTTTATATGTATATTTCCAACCAAATATTCTTATGGTATTGGTTTTGGACATGCGATGCAATAAATTGGAATGAACAAGACCCTAATACTTTTAAGAAGATATGAATGTGTACCTGATATAGTACAGTGAAGCCATTGAGAACGACGTACGCAACTAGCAGGTTCCTTGGCAGCGGCTTCGATTATTTCCATTGCGCTAGACGTCATTCTATGTATTGTGAAGAATTAGAACTGTCAAGTGATCAAAACTATGCAAATTTATTTTGTTAGTTGGCTATGGCTTCATGTATATTCATAGCTAATTTCCATATTTGCATTGTATTTTAAAACCTTTTTTTTTTTTTTTTTTTTTTTTTTTGAAAAGTATTTTGAAACCTTTAATTATGCTTGATTTCCGTTATTAGAGTGCTTAATTTTTTGTAACTCCCTATAATGGCTCTTTAATTTGGTTGGAAAGTAAGTACCGTTGTCTTAACTCGCATTATTTTCACCGTTTTACTACCTCTTGAATTTGGCTTTGAACAATTGAACTTTTTTTTTTTTTTTTTTTTTGACAAGTTGAAGAAATGAACTTAAGTTTGTAATTTTGGTTTTTGACAATAACTGTTTTTTTTCTTTTTGTTTTGATATATTAGTTGGGTTATAAGAGAATGAAGAATGGAATTTGCAATGCATATTTTTATAGGGAAAACTTGTGGAATTGTCTTGGTAGTGTGGAACCATTGGTAAACAAAACGTAATTTTCATGCTTTTCAAGAGGGGTGGGGATTGGATTCTATGCTTATTTTGAACTCAATGTATTTAGAATACAATCTAAGAATGTTAATTAAGCAAATTGATTAGTTTTTCCCTATTAGTTTTGGAGGCATGGAATTGGTTCTCACTTTTTGAGTATGATCAATTGACTTTCTCAACGTCTCTAAAAGTTCATTATTAAATAACCAACGTTTAAATAGAAAAAACTTTTAAGAACCCCCCCCCCCCCCCCCCCAATTTTGTGAAATTAATCGGGAAACATAAAATGTGTGATTGTGATCGTTAGAGCGGTATTTAAAATATACATATGATGAAGAAGGCTAGGTGAAAGACTTTTAAATTATAGTCTTAGGGTTTTTAATGTAGTGTGCAGATAGGAAGCTCCTATTTGCTCTTTGATCTCGTCTTCTTATTCTTCAGTATATTCCTCAATCCTCATGTGGTAAACACAATTTTCCAACCGACCTTTTTTTTATGCTCCTCATCACGAGCCTTGTACTTCTCAGCCTTTTGAAACATCTTCTCTATTTCCTGAATGGTTGTGTTCTCTGTTATCTGAACTGTCATGACACTCCCAGCAGTTTCAAGTCCAAGAGACAGTGGAATAACATTAATAGTAGATTTTTGAACTTTTCATAGTCTTCACCATGTAAAATTGCAGTTGGACAACAGCACTATGTCAAAAAACTTATTAAAAAACTGCATGAAAGAAAATTTTGACAGTTCAGTTGTTGAAACGATGAAGATTAAAGTTTAGAAACTTGTTTCATAGATCAGATAAGACAATGACAATTAAAGTTCAAAAACTTGTATATCATATATTGACAGTAACATGATAATTATTCAAAACCTTAGTTTCTTAAAGAGACTCCATCCCCAAGTGAAGCAACCTTTAGAAACACATAATTATCAAGATAATCAGCAGCGACAGGATAAACAATTGCGAAATATAAGTTAGTATAGCTGAGCATCCCCATGAAAGTTTCACTTATAAAGTAATGCATATAATAAGTAATGTCTTGAACATAATCATGAAACTTCTGAAAAAGAAAAAAAATTGTAGCATGAATATCAACAAATCTTTATGGATGAAATTTACTCGCATTATTCCAGAAGCACAAAGCCTCAGATTTTGTGGTATGTTTTACTATTCAAAAATCACATAAAATTACAGGAAATAAGTGATAATATGTCAGCCACTCAGCATGTACTTACGAGCTTCCTAAAAAAGACGGAACCTGGGTAACTCTTCTTTCAACTAGTACCTCCCCCTCCCACAAGTTATTTTCTCATTGCTAGACTTTTATGATATTTGCAAACTTGGGGACTCCCCAACCCACCCCCCTTAACTTTCCTCCCTCCTTCCCCCCTCCCCTGTTTGTAATATGCCTCTCGTCTTACTTGCTCCCTCCTTTACCCTCCTCTCTCAACGGTTTACTCGCCTTCTACTCTCATTCCCTTTTTCAAGTCTCCCTTCCTTTTCCTTTCTCCATCTCACTCTTCTTCGTTAATTGGTTTTAAAATATTAGTTAAGGTTAGTATTAAAGCTAATGTAAATGTTTCTTAGTTATCTTTAATGCAAAAACGTTTAATTTTGTTTTCACATATTCTCTAGCTCTTTAACTCCAAAGTTACCATTTTTCCATTTAACTTTAGTATAACTGTATAATAGGAGCTTTATATATCAAAACCCAGAAATGTACTCAAAATGATTACTCGAAAAATTGGTTCGAGTGTTATAAGCAATTTCTTTTACACCCTCAGCACCCACACCCTCTGACTTTTTATTTCCCTTTTGAATCAAGCAACATCCCAAGCTAAGCATTGAACTACTATAAAGTCGCAAAAATAAAGCTAATTAACACAATTTCCACAAAATTCAACATTAAAGCTCCATAATAAGCATCAAAAGACCCAAAAGATAAAGAGTATGGCACATCATCTACTTACCTCAAAGCTAATATTACAACTCTTGACGACTACATGATTTCCCCAATCCGTTTTCAGCTGGTGCCAAGTATGCCTATAACAAATTTGAAAGCAAAGAGAGAACAAGGAACTTCAGAAAAACATAAACATATACTGATCACTTAACACAATTAAGCACCAATTTCTCCTTCCTAAACAGAGGTCAAAGCTTGAAGGTACACATATTTCACAAAATCAAATTCTACATATATTAAAGAAACATACGCAACTTTTCTCATAAAAGGTAGAAACTATAACTAATAACTTGGAACCTAGACTAAATTGATAAAACTATCTAGAACACTCTGAAACTAAAATAAAGAACATACATATGCTATTAAGGATTCTAAAGCAGATATTTGATTATGTACATGACTTATATATTGATCGTATGTAATTATTGTCTTTTATTACATTTAGTTTAATCTCATTTTTTTCTGGTTGTTGCAGTGACAGGCTAACAACGGATATAGAAAAAATATTTAGAAATAAGAATATAATCTTTTGAAAGCAGATCTAATATCACATTAGTTACTCCATAATCTGACAACACCATATGAACCCAAACATAAATATATACTACATATATACCATAGAACATGAAAGAGACGAAGGGGGAATAAGAAGCTTTTTGAAATAGACATTACATTTCATGAGGAACAATGCCGCTGACTATATGTTAATTTTATGACAAAATGAGAATAATTTGGCCCATAATCAAGAAGGCTTCAATACAATATAAGAAATTAAGGAGTAGGTACCTTATATCTCTAGGGCAAGCAATTCTTCGTGGAGATAAAACCCAAAGAGGCATTTTTTGAAGATGTAACTTTTGATGAAAAACCTCACCCGTTTCTTACCTATTTCTCCAAAATTATGATTTGAGAATGATAACCATGTTAATAAATGAGATGAAAGCAAAATACCTAAATTAAATAACTCAACATTGCAAATCTATGCTCTTAAAAATGAGAGTGCAAAGCAAATTCCCTAAATTAAATAACCCAATAAATAGGGGTATGAATCCTAACCTTAAAGGGCGGGATAACATGCTCTAAAAAATGAGAATGCAAAGCAAAGTCCCTAAATTAAATAACCCAATTAAAAAGGGTACGAATCCTAAACCTTAAAAGGAGGGTTAACATTAGCATTAATATTAATATGTAAGATATAGCTCGTGAAGATTTAGTTAAGGTGAGAGAGAGAAAGAAACTTAGAAATGTTATACATGAATAGTACTTGTTTTAGCTGGTTAAATTGGTAGTGTCTAGCCAATCCAAGGCCAAGGATCGTGAACACCGTTTGATAATTTAATTTCATCAAATTACAGATTAGTTTTCCATTTCCCCTTTCTTCTCTTCTAATTGTAGCTCTAGTTCTTAAATTTTCAGTAAGCTACACAAACATGCTCTTTACATCAAATTTAAAAATCAATGAACATGAATCTAATGAATAAATGAATAAATCAGGACATTTGGCATGTCAAGAGACAGAAATAAACAAAAACAGAACACTCTAATCGAGAACAAAAAATGGTTTAAAAATTCCCAAAACCAAAGATCACCCATATGAAAGATGAAGCTTAGAACCCCACCATTTCAAAATCCCACCGCTATAGCTTCTTGAAGGCAATACCTTATCAGCCATGGGATTCGAAAGTGCGCCAAATGGCGTGCCTAGATGCGTGTGAAAGTAGCTTCCCCAGTCAGCTCATTAACACTTGAAAGCAAGAAAGGAGGATCAGCACTGACCTTTATATTTTGCTCCTTGGAATTATATTCCAAATGAATTTTTTAAGGAATAAACAGAGACACTACAAGCAACTATATTAATAGTTTAGCAATCTGAGAAGAAATCTAACTTTGCTTTCATCAAAGCCTTCTGTATTGTATATCCAACAAAGCTACCAAAAGCAGAATGTTCTTTGAGAATAAGAACTGCAATTAGCATACCAGTTCTGAGATTGAAATTTGTGTTGGAATGTTGGCTTCCGCAACCAAATGAGTGCCATCAGTAATATGAATCACAAAGACCGTACAACATTAGAAATCAAGGAAATTGTAAGAAAATTGTCATGTACCTATTTACCAGGCAGCATCTTTTAGGGAATCCACACGGCAAGATAACTGAAAAACACAAAATATTAGGTGACATAGATTTCATAAGGTTTAAGCTATGTACAGGTACAACATATTACAGGAGACCTTGAAAGCAAGATTTGAAAACTCGGGGAGAAAAGGAATGACTAATGCCTTTATGAGTTTCGAGTCACAGAAAAAAAAAAAAAAAAAAAAAAACCTTCTGAAAAAAACACAATGGATCTCGTGTTAAGAACTTCATATTCAGAACAGAGTTACCCAAAAAATCGAATTTGCTTGACAAAATAATTTCTTATTCATAATAGACTTCCTGCATTGACGTGCTGCCACTAACCTCTCCCATTTCAAGCACCTCTAATGCCTCTTTGTATTGATGTGTTCTCATTAGCTGCTTTCCTTTTGTATATACGCAGCGTAAGACCCATCATTATTTCCCTGTCATATACAAAATATAAGGCAACTCCGCGCATGCAGTTGCTTCTCAACAATTGAAACTAAAGAGAGACTTCCATGGTGCATACAATAGCTTGCAATCAGCAAACACATATCTTTGATCTGTCAGAACCAATATTAACCTCTGCCCTCTTAGATCCTCAAGCTCAATATTGTAGTTATCAATAGGTAGCAATCCAACCTTCTGCCCTCTTTGATCCTCAAGCTCAATGTTGTAGTCATCATTAGATAGCAATCCATCAGCATGTCTCTTGACAAGCATAGCAACAGCCATCCTGGTATATTTAAAGAAAGGTAAATTTTAAGGCATTAAGCAGTAGAGAGGCAACAATCAAGCTAAGATGGCGTTTGGTTATAGGAAGCAATAACCAATCTCATTCTCCTTTAAATTTACATTAAGAAAATTAAGGTATATATGTTCAAACAAACAATTGTTAGCAGTTTTGTAAAAGCATAGAGTCCCAAGTGAAAATATAAAACTTCGAATGCTCCAAGAATAAGTTGATAATACCACAGAAATTATGATCCACAAACAGCAGATTGCAGACCTTTATAAAGCAATTCAGTTCCGAATCAAATCCCCTTATAATCTTATAGCTAGCACATAACAAACAAAATTAGACCCAAAGCTTTCAATTCTAATTAACATTACTAAAGAAGGCACTTCTTCACAGCTTCCTAGGAACAGATTAAATATTAGGCTAGGTATATAATAAATACACAAGGATATAAAATTTATGCACTAATATTTATCTTAATATAGCGGCAAGTGTTACATTGGAGTATGAATAATAGGATAACTGAGGTATAAGAGGTAGAGAGCATTAGAGCAAGCCTATTACATTATTGATATAATTGGCTGGTTTGGAGCAATGGAAAGCTAAAAAAAGTGAGAGGAAGACCGGCTCCGGTTTTGTATGATGGAAACTCGACTTCTTCTCCTGCTCATTATTCTTGCTCTCCTTTAGAGGTAAACAAAAAGAGCAATATCCATGTAATCCTAAGAATCTTACCTAACCTATCCAAACAATGTGCTACTATGAATCCATCAGTAAGTAAAAAAAATTAAAATTTGAGATTAATGTCAGAACCAATCTTCTTTTCTAACTCAAAAGTGAGAAAAAGATATTTAACACATTGTTCAAATTCTCTAATCTGCTCCATTTATTTGCTGAACTTCAGTCAAAGTTTTTGGTAAACATTCTAATAAATTAATGCAAATATAAAGAGTGCATTTTAGTAACAATTAATAATCCACACGACCCTTTAAAATTATAGTTTGAATGATGAAATCAGATTTAGTAAGCATGTTTATACCATGGCATCATATATTGCTACGCAGGTTTCATCGCGAAGATCATTAGGACTAATATGTTTAGACAAAAATAATGCACCCTTATAGTCGTTATAGATAGAGATTTGCCTATCTTTCATCTCTTCAACCAAAACCATATATGACTATAAGAGTAGTTTGTCTACTGTTATATGACTCGAGAATCTTACTCCACAGTCCTTGTTAATCCTGATGTGGAATTTTAAAACCAAGATCATTAGGACTAATAAGACCAGCCGTTTAAAAACCATGGAACTTTACTTCAAGAACTCTAGTAGGAATGGCATATTGTTCCTTAGTCCCAATAAATCTCCTCTTACTTATAATCAGATGTGCATGGCAAATGTGAATCAACATCCCACCAACACATGATAGAATACCCTCTCCCAAGCTTGAATGAAACAACATGCTCAAACATAAATCAAATAATCCATGGGAGGTGAAAAGAAAGAAATCAATCCAACAATACCAACATATGTCCAACAAGTCACCAACCATTAGAGAAAGAGCAAGGATGGATATTATCGGATGGAGGTGGGTGTAAATACCCGCAAAAGATCCAATTAAACCTTTCAAAGCCAACAATCTCTAATAGTGACTCTCGCTTTCCATATGCTAGCAAATGTGGAGTCATACTTCCTTGATTCTTGATCCAAACCAATGCACCAAAGTATATGAAGTTATGTACCTAGCAAAGGGCACACAAACATTTTCATGAGAGAAAATCTATTCCAAAAAGAAAAGAAAATGAAAGCAATAAAACACGGGTTACTTCCCGAGAAAGACTTGCTTATGGTCCAAGCGTGACCGCTCTAGTAAATAATATTGCAACGAACGCAAGAGTTTGTCAAATGCACTACTACACATCTCATAAGGTAGTAAGCACATGACGGGAAGAGGGCGTGCAACAAGGATAGTGCACGCAAAGGAGGAGAGAGATGTCGAGAAAAAAAAGAAGCAAAGGAAAATTCAATAGATTAAGAAGAAGAAGAAAGCAAACTCTCCTCAAAATGTTTTTGGGTGGTAGAATCACCCTTTTCCTCAATAATTAATGAGTGGGGAACATGAAAAACATCAAAGACTAGGGGATCCCCAATAGGCTCATTGACAAGTGAAGGGAGGGACATAAGATAGGAAGGGATATGGTTAAATTTCCTTGAAAAAGGGACATGAGAAGAAGAGATAGGAGCAATGGTCTCACAAATGAACTCTTCCTCACCACCATTCCTCTCGTCACCAATAAGAGCATGGAAGTCAATATTGAATCTTCAAAAGAAGGACACTCGTGATCTCCATCTACCTCAAACATCCAACTTCCAAGAGAAACTACATCATCCTCTTCATCACAACAATGAACAACAACTCCCTCAATATCCTTAAATCCCAAAGTCTCAAAACCATGCATGTATGAATGGATGCAAATTCATTTCAAACTCATCTCTCTCCCATGAAACATTCTCAATGAACTCATTCAAAAGGCTATGATTATTTATTTGAACCTCAAAGAACATTTTTGACATAACCTCAAACGAGTCCAAATACTTGTGGATAGAAGAGTCACAATCATGCACTTGAGACTCATCACAATCAACAAAGGAAGGGGAGTTTAGATTCACAAAATTATCATCATCATCATCACTCTCAACTCCCTTTCCTTCACTCCTATGCTCACTAATAGGATCCTCACAAACTCTTGGTTGCTCAAAAACATCATCATCATCCTCAACACACACATTGGATTTGAAATTTTCACAATATGCCTAATTTGAGATTCAAAAATATCAATAAGAGACTTAAAAGGTGTAGAAGGTTGGGGTTCAACAAGGGAAGAAGGATCACAACCAAGACTGGAAGCATTAGCATTAGAAGCAATAGCATATCATCACATTGGGGAGTGAGGGCGCAATCAAGCACATGACATTCGTCATTGAGGAAATAAGGCACATCACAAGTAGGCATGGTAAATAATGAAGAATATTGAAACACACCATGAGCATCAACTTGAGCATGTATCTCATCATTATGAACAATAGGGGAAATAGATTTGAAAGCATTCATTCTAGGTTCACTAATGGGATCATGTGTTAAATTATGGGAAGTCATGCTAACATTTGAAGAATTAACACATTGGGCATCAATATTAGAATCATGATTACCCTTACTATAGACATCCCAAGCAAATCAAACATAAACTCTAAAATCACAATTATGCATGCTTTCAACTATGTCCCTAGTTTGCTCATTCAAACCAAAATAACAAATCTCACAAGCCTCCAAAGACTACAACAATTATAGTCCAAAAATCCCTCAAGTATATTGAAATATTCACAAAAAAGCTCATTGTCATATTGAGGAAATGAGAGACATGCCATTTTTTTTTTCACAAAACAAACAAAAATCAAATAAAAGAAAAGTATATACAAAGACCTAGATTCAAGCAACCAAAAACACTCAAACATAGACACCGTTCCCTGATAACGACGCCATTTTGACGTAGGGAAAACTAGGTCGTTGACAAATCCTCCCTAGAGCCAAACCAAATTTATAATCACTCAAAAAACCTAAATACAAGTATAGAGGTAAGTCAAGGGTCGAACCAATAGGAACGGTTATGTTCAAGTGTTTCCAATTAACGCCTAAGCTAAGTCGAAGTCAAAGGTTAGAAGGTAACATTATTCAACTACCAAAACAAAGAAGCAAACAAATGAAACACTAGGGAATGGGGATTAACAAGTAATCATGACAATTGCAACAACTTGGGAAGGTCAAATCAATCAATGGTTGTGAAGACTAATGATAAGAGCTATCAATCGGAATCAAGAGCTATCTCCTATTCATTAAGCTAGGTTTCCTCTATTAATAACAAAGTAGGAGAATCACAATTCAAACCAATCAACAATTGCAAATCCTAATCAAGTGGTCATGTCATTAGGATCTGCAATGTAATCTAGCATAGTTCTCAAGGCCTAATCAAACTAAGCACATGCAAACTTACATTAATCACTTTAATCTCAACAATCAATCAGCATAATTCCCAAATTAATCACAATCAATCAATCATACAAGTTTTACCCAAACCCTAGCAAAACAACTACTCAAGAATCATCATCTGATCAACAAACAAGTAAATGAAATCAAGAATCAACAAATATGAAGAACAACTACACTAATCAAGATTTAATCATCAAAATCAAATCAAATAAACATGAAATTAAATAAAGCAATAAGATGAGATAGAGTTAGAAATGCTCATTAATAATTGAGAAGATCTTCAATACAATTGTCACCCTTGCATCACCAATCTCTCAAATCACCATTGAAATCTCTCACTTTCTCTCTCTAAATCTACTCCTAAAACTAAACCTAAAACTAGAGAGAGAAACTCTCAACTAAGCTAAAATTATGAGGAAAATAATGTCTAAAAACCTCTTACAAAAATCGGTTATAAAAGGGTATTTTTTAGGAGGCGGGAATACGAATTCAAAATAACCCAAAAAACAGGGAAACACGCCCACGCAAGAGCTACGCGCCCTCGCTGCGTTGGGTGTGCACGCTCGCGCTCTTTTGAGGTTTTTTTATGCTTTGTAGCTTCGTGCGCTCGCAAATAGGTCTTCATGTGCGCACGCAATATCTTCATGATAGTCACCAAGTATGGCAGATTCAGATGGAGTTGACGGTGTGTTTAACACCATGATCTCATGAGAGCGTGGCTTGAGAGCGCAAGAGCTAGATCTTGGATAAAGGAACTTGAGAACTTGAGAGCGCAAGATTGCACCATAGTTATAGGGCATTTGCAACTGAGCTGGTTGAGATAGAGGAACTAGAGTTAGAGTACAATGAGCTTGACTTCTGCTAGTCCTGGCTCAGCTGGTATGATTGGAGAGGGTATGGTTTGACATTTCATCCGGCATGGTGGGAGTAGAAGCAGTGTTTGAGTAGTAGGACTGTGCCCACTCCTGCCGCTTGTGCCGAAGGTAGTCTCTAGCATCCTTGAAGTGTTGGGAAGACTTATTTGGCTGCCTCAGAGGTGGCTTCATCTGCCCCCAGCCAAATTCGATTTCTCAAGAAGCCTTGACCAGTTCGTCTGAGGCACCCTAGGGGACTTCGGTTGCCTCCTGAACAAAGTAACTCCCGCATCTTTAGTGTTGGCCACATGGGGCTTTTTCTTGGTACCCTCTCCTTCTTTCATGGGCGGATGCTTAGAAGAAGAAGGCGTCAAACTCTTTTCGGAATTTGGCTAAAGTGGCCTGCAAAGAGCCGACCGTCACAAGAGGATCCTCGGCCTCATGGAATAAGGCGGTTAGAGGATCGTTGTTGTTGATCGTAACCTCAATATTCTCTGCACGGCCGTCCTAACTAGGACCGGGTGTTTGGCCGTCTTTAGCCATTTTAGACATGTATACCCACAGACGCCACCAAATGTTTCGGGACAATCATTCGGGATACAGGTATTGAATATAGCTACACTTGCAAAATAACGAATATTGTGTCAAACAGAATATTCGCCTCCGGCGATCAAGTTAGTGAACGGAAAACAAAAGTTTATAGAGAGAGAAAGTAGAGAGAATTAAGAGCAATTTCTATGCAATAAATGAGATGTCTTAATCCACCCCACCTATCATAAATGATTAAGGTATTTATAGGGGTTGGAATATGTGCATTCTAGGGCTAGTGCCCTAAAAAGGAGTGATCTAATTGGTGGCACAATCATAGTACGACCCGTGTCCTTTGGGGGCGCCGTCATGACGCCCTTTTCGGTATTTGGGCCTTCTGATGTAAGGAAGCCTTCTCTCTTTCAACTACTCCCATGTTTGGCCACGTGTCATCTTCCTATTGGGACACGTGTCACCTTTTTTATTGGGTCACGTGTCGCTATAGGATTGGACCGCGTGGTGGGGTAATTTTTACCCTAATTAGAAAACATCAACAAATCAATGTTTAGTTTTCAGTAAATCAACCTACCAAGCAAGGACCAAAGACTCAATCTATAGAACATGCATGCATGAACAACACGTAGAACTGCCATAGTAAGAAAATTACCTTTTCTTTTGTGCCAGCACTACCAACAACATAACAACCATGTATTTTGAAAGTTGACCAACAATCTACCCAACCACTCCGGAAGCTGCAGAGACAAAAGCACAATCTCCCTCTTTTGGCGAATAGACTTCTTGTAAAGCTATAGGATAACTCCAATAATTAACCCCCCTTTTGATTGAGAACTATAAGTAAATTAAGAATAAGGAAAATACACCAAAACAAGATCGCTAATAATTTGCAACAAGTTACTATAGAAAATTCTCAGAAATTGAATGAAAAATGATCAAATTCATCAATAAATCAGGGAAACTCAATCGACTAAAGCACAAATTTTTATAAAAAAAATGAAAGAAATGCTAACCAGGACAACAAACCCTGAAAAAAATACCACAATTTTAAATTTTATTGTTTAATCAAAACCCTAACAAAATTAAAAGCGAAAAAAATGAAGAAAAAGAAATTAACTTTGGAGGACTAATAGCTTTTATTTTTTGAAAAAGAAAAAAAAAACATATTAAGTGAAGAAAATAAAAAATTATTCATAGCAAAGTGCTATGGTAGATGAGAGGAGAAAGGAAGCTTACGCAAACACGAGTTGGGATGAAGAAAAAGATATGGAGACTTTGCTGCTTTTCTGATTGAATTTAGGTTGGCGTTGCCGTGAATTACCAGATGAATTACTCAAATTCGCTAAGTTGAAGAAATGGGGAAACCCTACAAAATTACATAAAGCTGGAGTTCTATAGAGGAGGAGAAGAAGAGAGAAACTTCGATTAAGAATGAAAGGTAACGAGGAAAAGCTTCTCCACACACAGCCATGAAGCTAACTTTACCAAATCAAATTGTATAGAAACAAATTTAATAAAAGCAAGGCATTATCGTTAGAGCACTGCTGATAAGCTATAGTAACGTTCCTTACTTTTTATTAAGGAGTTTAGAAGGAGTAACAAATTAATAACATGATATTTAAAGCAGGATACCCTAAGTGTAAGCTTTCCTCCTATTACTTTTCACAAGGAAGAAGGATGTAAGATGATGTAATGCTTTGCCTAAGGATCAAAGGAAATGCATATCAATATATATTATTAAAATTTAATGGCAAGTCATGCAATCCCACCGCGTGTCGCCATTGCTTATGTAGCATAGTGTCGTACTATAATCAATCACCAATGTTTTCTGGCTAAAAAAATTGTAATTTATTTGGAGTTTTATTTGAACCCATGACCTCACATTCACTAAAGTCAAATTTTAACCACTATTCTAATGACACAACTTATGACAATAAAGTCATATTAAATAGAGTTATTCTCCTTCATAATTCTAAGATTTTAATTGTTAACTTATACATGTATATTTCAACAACAATATGATTATAAAATTAATCTCATTTCTTTAATTACTCATTCATAATTCTCATATATAGGTCATATGTATTTAAAATACGTAACTTAAAAATGCATAGCAATTTAAAAGGTTTTTTTTTCAATTAACCACATTATACATTTACTATACTAAGGAATTTTTTATGACAACTAAGGAATCGATTTAACTAATAAATTAAACTTATGTAAAATTTAAGTTCATGCAGATTGAATGAATAATGAATTTTGATGCTCAATAATTTTTTAAAAATAAACCATTGATACTTTTTTTCTTATAAAATAATAACTCAGGGCATCGCCCGAGCCAAAAAGTAGTTGAGAGTTTAAATTGTTGCCTTATGTTGATCATAGCCATTACTAATTCTCCATCAATATATACTTTATATGTTAAAAATCATTCCTAAAAAGGTTTGTGTGTCACATTACCACTAACATTACAACAATTATTCCATGTCATTTTAATGAAAAAACATCTCACATGTTTCAAACGCTGAACCCCATGGATATAAAAGATCATAATTCTTACCATATATCTTAGTCAATAGTAATATATGTTTTATGTACACATAAATTAATATATCTTGAAGTAAGCTTAAAATAAGAATTAAAAATAATTATATAGCTTAGAAAAAATTAATAAAGAGTAATAGCCTCAACAATTCCAAGATGGTGTAGAGTTATTAACTTTAAATTCTCTTTATTAACATTTTGTTTTAAAGCAGCAATCCGGTGCAATATCCGGGCCACACACTAGTTTTATCATTAAAACTCAAAGTCACAACATGTTATTGCATGTGTCACAGCTGTCACCTCTTCTATATTAGACTTGGTTCTATATGAGCAATGACATGTCAAAACCTATTTATCTATACTATATAGTGTAAAAACTAAAAATTATTGAAAATTTATAATTGGATTATACTTTGTACCGCCAATATGAGCAAATGACATGTCAAAACCTATTTATCTATACTATATAGTGTAAAAACTAAAAATTATTGAAAATTTATAATTGGATTATACTTTGTACCGCCAATATGAGCAAATGACATGTCAAGACCTATTTTTCTATACTACATTACAAAAACTAATGAAAACTTATGATTGGATTACAATTTGAACAACCAAGCTTCCAGACGCTCTTTTGACCGTAACACTCCTTATTTCCAAACTTTGTACCAAAAACTTGATAATTTTTTGTTTCCTTATTTATTATTCAATTAATTTGAAAACATAAATTCATTTTTTAACTTTATAATTTGTTTATGCCAAAAATCACCTAAAGAGACAACCTTTGGTTAGGATGCCGATAACTAGATTACAAGAGATTGCGAAATGTAAACAATGGAAATAGAAATAATATAGACATGATATGATGACGCGGAATACACCAATGAAGGTGGATAAAAACTGCGGGTGGCTACTTGTCAACCAATGCACTATGATACGGGCGTTATAACCATTATTGATACAAATACAATGAATATTTGGGCGTTATAGCCATTTTTGATAATAAAGAAATACATAAGAGCAAGAGATTAAGTATACATTATAGCTATTGAGAATATGTATAATCATTGAGTTGATCATTAGAGCTTGTAGGACAATCGGAGGAGACATGTCGTCGTTAAGATCGTCGTACGAAGCCTCATGATGTATTTTTTGATGATGTATTTTGTAATGTATTATTTGTGGGTTTTGTATACTTGAATGAGCTGTGTGGAATCTGCTTTGATGAATGGTCGTTGCCCTTCTTTTATAGCCTTTAAGTGGTAGAAATCGGTTGAGGAAGATGAGTATGAGTCCCTTGATTTTAGGAAGTAGTTGGTTGACTTCAAGACTTGGTCATGTGATGAATGTAGACTGATTTAGGCTTATATTTATTGTAATAAATTCCTTGACTAGTTATAGGCTGGTGGAAATGCTCTCCTTTTCTTTAGGAACCACTAGTAACAACGTTGACTTGTTCTACAGCTTCTTAGCGTCACGCTATGAGATGCGTCGTGTGACGTAGGACGTCAGCGTCGTGCGTCATCTTTTGATGTCCTCTGAAGGTGTCGTGTCGGAGGCCGAGGTCACTATAGGTCGACAGAGGTCACTATAGTTGTCGAGTGTCGAGTCTTGAGATACGTCACTGAGATGCATCGTCACTAAGATGCGTCATTGACATCAACTGTTGCTTGGACATGGACATTAGTATCCCTGGCATTCTCCACCCAATTCAATATTGAACACCAAGACTAGTTTAATATGTGACCATCTTGGTTATAGGGACAACCTTTCGGACTTCACTTTGTGTTGTGGAAATTACACCTACAACAATATAGCCCCCATTTTCTTAGTTGAAGCATGCTACAAACTAGGAAAGTCATCTTTGCACTTGATGTTACATACATATTGGGACTAGCGTCTTTCATTGGCAACATTCACTCGTAGCTTACCATACTTCTGTCATCACACACGTGTGTTGGTATTTAGAGACTTATGTGATTTCATCATTTCTTGAGATAATAGTGACTTATGAGTTGATTCAAATCTTTCCACATGTCAATGGTAGCTAGATTGAGCATATATCTGACGATAGAGCAACCTGTTTACAACATTTACAAATAGAAAAGCCACTCAAAGAAAATTGGTTAATTAGTTTTCGGTTCTCACTAGCGATATAACCATGTAAAAAGATAAAATTCATATGATAAAGTCTGGAGGCACGACCACTTATTCCGTTGACAAACATAGACACAAAATGACCATATAAGAAATGGTATATGGCGACATAGCCATACATTTGGTCGTAAAACAAAATATGGTGCCTAGGTCCTATTAAATGTCATCGAAAGATGCATATTAGGAGGCATAGCCTCCTAATGAAAAAAATTGGTGACGGGGTCATCGATGACGTCGTGGAACGACTGAGGTTCTGGCGACAAGACCGCTTAAGCTATTGAAGCAATGATTTTCTGGTGACATGACTGCATTAGGTGACGAAAGACAAAATTTTGGCGTCAAGGCCATTTGAAATGACAAAGAGTACTTTTAACAACAAGGATGCTTAAGATGTTGAAGCGCGGGATTTCGATGCCAAGGTCATTCAAGAATGATATGAGCTAAGTAAAGGTAACTTATTAGTGTGGTTACTTTATTGAGCCATTAAACATATGTGGTATGCTTTATGATTTCTTTGTATGCCCTTATGCATGCAAATATAAAAATGTATGCATTCTTTGAAACGTATCGGTGTCATGCGTAAGTAGTTTGTGTGTGTATACATGCATCATGACTTTTGGCAAGTGTATCAATGATGAGCAATACATTGTAACATAAGAGCTGACATCATGAATTTTGAAATAAACCTTTGCTTTAGCTGTCTAAGGCACAAGTCGTATGCACAACTAATTAACAAGAATTGCATGTTATATACATTGGTTGTCATCGTGACATCAATAGCTACATAAGATGAATTATCTAAATTATGAAACTCATACCATTGAACATTGTTGTCTTGTGTATAACATTTAAAGTTAAGTGTCTTCATTGCCAATCAGGTGTCATCGAGCGATTATCAATGAAGCTTGATGTCGAATTCGTGCGTCATGGTGTCGAGACAATGATCCTCCTTGTGGCGTCATTGGAAATGCTTATGAAATCATAATGCAACAACACATGCAATGACAAAGAAACATGGGTCACATAAGCGAAATCAATTCTATAAAAAAGAATAAAGCAAAGTTAAGTGTTGTTTTGAACATGCGAGTCGCGAATGACGTTCATGCGACATTAGATCTTTAATTGATGAGTTAACTTTCACCCGTGTTGGTTTCGTCGTTCGACTGCTTATCGTTGTTGGTCTTGATGTTAATGAGTTGATTCTTGCTGACCTTTAGGTTTCTTATCGTCATGACTCCACTTGGCTTCATCAAATTTTGTCGTTGCTAATAGGCACAACACCATTTGGTGTCATTTAAACTCTGTCGTGTCTAAACTCAATGTCGTCGGAATCTGATGACGTGACTCAACTTACTGTTGTGTCTCAACTTGACGTCGTGTCTCAACTCACTGTCGTGTCTCAATTCAACATCGTCGGAATCTTATGACGTCACTCGACTTACTGTCGCGTCTCAACTTGACATCGTCGGACTCTGTCAACATTAACTATTAAGTGTTGTTGCTTATACATTGTTCTAATGTTGATAATCGATTCACCATTGGAAACTCATGATCTATTTCCAATAATCTATACATCACTATCATAGCCGTTATTACAGTTAAGCTTAAACATGTTAACGTTAGTCCAAATGAAAGTAATAATCACTTTGTCATAACTTGGCATAGAAAAGCTTGTTTCAACCAATACATAAATGCATTAATAAATGGTGATGAACACATGTATCTTTTGTCATGTTCAGGTGTAGGAGATGTGTTTTCCTAATATGCTCACATATCGATTGATGGATATATTGTTGGGTTTTGCGGTGTCCGAAACCGTGCGGAAACAAAACCCAATAACCGGATCGCATGCATAATAATTACAACATAAATAAAAGCATACAAATAAGCATAAACATAAGAAAAAAGAGAGAAGAGAGAGAAAGAATGCTCACCCTTGTAGCGAGCTTCGCT